TGTTTGACCCCAGTACTTTTTCCTGCCGTGGCAGGGGGTCGGACTTGATTATCTGCTCGGGTCCCTTCTGACCTGACCAACTATGAAACTATGAAACAATAGCCAATATTTCCGCATGCACAAGGGAAATCTCTTGATTTGTTGCTGCAGCAGCTCTATACAGATCTCCTAAAAACTGACTTGCCATCCTGAAATTCTGTAGCCACCTTTGATCATCCAAGACCTGCAGCAAAAGTACTAGTCACCAACTAGTGCTTCCCCTCCCCACCCCCCGCCAAGCCCAGAAATGGTGCTGTACTGATTGAAATTGACCCAAGAAAGTTTCCCTATAAGTTGATGTTGTCTTTGCCCCCTCTTCCTGGTACAGCAGCTAATTCCAAAACTGCTGGCTGAAAAGCTGCTTGCTTATTCAGTGGCAGACTTGCAAAGGTGATGCCACCCAGTGGCAAATTGACAAATATATCTTCATAAGCCTCTGTGTAGTTGTGCTACTCAATGTTAGCTAGCCAAGAAGAGATGGTTTGTGCTTATAATGAGAGACAAATCATGGAAATTTGTGAATTTGACCTCAAGTCCCAGCATTTCAGTCCCCTCCACAATGTTCTGTGAGAAAAACTTTATCCTGACGATGGCCCAGCAGTGGGGTGGCCATCATAGATGGCATTCTGGTTTTCTGCTACTCTATCCTCTGTCCTCTATTGACACAAAACTCAACGCCTTTATGCCCTCTATTTTTCTTTTCAAGAGAAAACTAGAGGGCATAAAGGTGTCGGGTTTTGTATCAATAGAGGATAGAGAATGACCGTACTGTCCTCTATGATGGCCACCCTACTCAGCAGTGAGACAAAGCACCATGAGATCCTCTCAAAACGTTGAATTCTTTTAATAGGGAAAATTGATTTTGGACTACAGTATGACTATAGCTGGTCATGTGGACAAGGGCTATTCTGAACTACCTAATTCTCACTTGTTACTGTGCCCCTCTTCAGCACCACATGGAAGCATGCTTTTATGTTTTAACATGAGGTGTTTGACATTGGTCATGGGTTTTTCGTTGCAGCCATGTTGGTATTAGGACATAGGCAGGCAAGGTTCTTTGAGTAGATGTGATATCTTTTATTAGACCAACTGAGTAGTTGGGGAAAAGTTCTTGGCAAGCTTTCAGGCACAATCACCCTTCTTCAGGCATAGGGAGTCTCTGCTCGTCTGAGAAGCCAAGGAATGAGAGAAGCTAAAAGTGTGGCAGGATGCTAGTGAGAATGTAAATTGGTAGAAATTTGAAAGACAAAGGGTAAAGCAAGGAAAGGAGGGGGAAGAAAGCAGGTGCGGGGAAGACCAAAGGGAAACATTACAGTAATAGAATACAAGGTTAAAAAGAGTCTGTCTGTGGAAAAGGAAATAGCTGGGGATCAGGAAAACAGGAATGAGAGAAGCTAAAAGTGTGACAGGATGTCAGTGAAAATATAAATAAGTAAAAATTAGAAAAACAAAAGGTAAAGCAGGGAAGGGAGGGGGGAGGGCAGGGAAAAAAGGCTGAAGGGAAACACTACTAATACAAGGTAAAAAAGAGGCTCTCAATAAAAAAGGAAACGGTTGGAAATCAGGAAGACAAAGGGCAGAAAAATAAGGGAGGGAAGGGGAGGGGAGAAAAGGTGTGGGACAAGAAGAACGTAAGAGGTCAGGTCAGGCAGGTACCTGGTGAATCAGATGCGAGGCAGGCTGTAACGTGTCATAAATCCAATGTCTATATTGAGTCAATGATTTTTAGTATCCAGTAGATTTATGAAGTGGAGTTTGTAGGCTTGTCTACGAAAAGTGTTTTGTAAGTTCCCTTTGAGGATTACAACTGAGAGATTGGAGAAGAAGTGATTGTCTTGTGAGAAATGTGCCCCCACAGGTAACTGGGTATTCTTGTCTTTGTTTCTGCACTATACGGTTAAATATATAATTAAAGGGATCTTTTGTTTTTAACGCACCAAAAAAATCTGCTTACTTTTATAATGGCTGTTGCATGCATATAGCTTTTTAGGCCAAACATTATGTCATATCTTTTTTCCCCACTGATACTTCTGCATGTCAAAAGTCAGTTGGCAGATGTGAAAATTTCAGACTACTTTTGTGACCTTGCTTTTCTCTGGGTTCCGCATACCATCAGCACTCAGTGTTTTCACAACCAACTGCAGTCTTACAATCACGCCTAGTTTTTAATTATTCAAAACAACTTAGTGTCATCACCCAAAACATTGCAAACTACTGTCCTACAGATCACTAGTATGTGCCCCTGGAGCATTGGTGCAGTAAAAGGATGTCTTTGGGGCAGTGCCTGATACTTGTTTTTTCTCTGAGGTGGGAAGTATTTCTTGGGGTTGTGTTCCCACATCATAGGGTATAATCGTAGAAGAGTGCTGCGATGCATTTCCCAAGGCTGCATGCTCCCCTGGGTAGTATCGTAGGGTATGTTCAGCAGCTGTGTGCTGTGTGAGTAGTGGTTGTCCTTGGTGTGCCTGTCTGTCCACTATGATGTGCACTCATGGAGTTGTGTGTGGTGATGTTTGTCCTAGGAGCGTGTGTAGGGCTCTGGGGCAGTGGGAGTCTCTCCAATACAGCATTTGCTCCAGGGTTTTATGTCCCAGGGGCAGTGTGTTGTGGTGGTGGTATGTGTGTGTCCCTGGGGCAGCGTGTGATGGTGGCGGTGGTGTCTGCCCTCGGAGGACATGTGTCCCTGGGGCTGTGATGTGTGTGTGTGTGTGTGTGTGTGTGTGTGCTTGGAGCAGTATGCAGTGGTGATGGTGTGTGTGTGGAGCACATCTGTTTCTCAGGCAGTATGTGGTGGTGTCTGTGTCTGGGGGATGTGTGTCCCTGGGGCAGTGTGATGATGATGATGTGCAAGTGTGTGACTGGGACAGTGTGGTGGTAATGGTGGTGGTGTGTGTGTCTCTGGGACAGTGTGTGATGATGGTGTGTCTGGAACACATGTATGTGTGGTAGTGGCAGTGTGTGGTGGTGGCAGTGGTGCATGGGTGTATCTGGAGCAGGTGTGTTCCTGGGGCTGTGTGTGGTGGTGGGATATATGTGTGTATGTATCCCTGGAGATGTGTGTCCTTGAGACAGTGTGTGATGATGGTGTGTCTGGAACACATGTATGTGTGGTAGTGGCAGTGTGTGGTGGTGGCAGTGGTGCATGGGTGTATCTGGAGCAGGTGTGTTCCTGGGGCTGTGTGTGGTGGTGGGATATATGTGTGTATGTATCCCTGGAGATGTGTGTCCTTGAGACAGTGTGTGATGATGGTGTGCCTGGAGCACGTGTATCCCTGGGAGAGTTTGTAGTAGTGGTGTATGTATGTGTGTGTATGTCCAGGGTGGGAGTGTATGTCCCTGGGCACTGTGTAATGGTGGCAGCGGTGTGTGTGTCTGGAGCAGGTGTGCCTCTGGGGCAGCGTATGGTGGTGGTAGTGTGTGTGTCTGAAGCAGCGTGGTGTGATGATGGTGTGTCTGGAACACATATATCCCTGGGGCAGTGTGTAGTGTTGGTGTGTGTCCCAGAGGGATGTGTCTCCCTGGCACAGTGTGTGGTGCTGGCACTAATGTGTGTATGTGTGTGTGTGTGTACCTGGAGCAAGTGTGTCTCTAGGGCTGTGTGGTGGTCATGTGTGCATGCACGTATCTGGAGCAGGTGTGTCCTGGGGCTGTGTGAGGTGGTGGCACTGGTGTGTGTGTCCATGTCCTGAGGGATGTGTCCCCCTGGGCAAGTGTGTGATGATGTGGGAGTCATGTGCAGTGGTGGCACTGGTGTGTGTGTGTGTCCCGGGAGATGTGTCCCGCTGGGGCAGTGTGTAGTGTTCGTGTGCATCCAGGGTGGGGGGGGATGCATCTCTCTGGCGCAGTGTGTGATGGTGGCACACGTGTGTGTGTGTGGAGCAGGAGCATCCCTAGGGCTGTGTGGTGGTGACGTGTGCATGCAGGGAGCTGGAGCAGGTGTGTCCGTGGGGCCGCGTGCAGTGGTGGCACTGGTGCGTGTGTCCTGGGGGATATGACCCCGTGGGGCAGTGTATGACAACGGGGGCCGCGTGCAGCATGTCTCCCGGGAGATGTCCCCCCCTGGGGCCGTGTGTGACGCTGGTGTGTGTGGCCCTGGGGCAGTGCGTAGTGTTGGTGTGTGTCCAGGGGCGGATGCATCTCCCTGGGGCAGCGTGCGCTGGTGGCACAAGTGTGTGTGTGTGTGTGTGTTTCTGTAGCAGGTGCCCCCCTGGGGCAGCGTGTGGTGGTGGTGGCACCGGCGTGTGCGCGCGTGTCCCGGGAGGTGTCCGGGGCACGTGTGTCGGGGCGGGAGGGGAGCAGTGCCAGCGTGTAAGTGCCCGCTCCCCGCGCTCGCATTCCTCTGAAGGGGCAGGTCTTTTCCTGAGCCCCCCTCCAGCTGGTGGGGAGCCAAACGGCGCCGCTCGTCCTCCGGCCAGATGCACAGGACCCCCCGCCGGTGAGAAGCCATGCACGCTCTCCAAGTCTGCCCTGTGCAGAGCGGGGAGCAGCGCGCTTTCCAGGCAAAGCTCCCACCCCCCAGCCCGCTCCCTTGAGCTGCCTCTTGCTCGGGACCCCGAGAGAAGATCGCTCGTGCTGTCGCGGCTGCCTTCCTAGCACGTCCCTCCGGAGGTAGGATCTCTCCTTTCCTTTCCCCTCCTCTGTCGCCGCCCGCAGGGTCCTCTCCTCCTGGGCGGGCACGGACCTCGCGGCGGGGTCCGGCTGGGGCCGCGGGCACCCCTCCGAGGGAGGACAGGCAGGCGGCGACGCAAGTTTCGAGTCCCACCACGCCTCTTTTGTGCCCCCGGTCCTCTGCTCCGGAGAGCTGGGCTCTTGAGAGAGACGGACAGACAGACAGAGAGGATGTGTGAGAGAGAGACAGAGACAGTGAAAGACAGAGATAGAGACAGAGAGAGGGTGAGAGAGACACAAAGAGATAGAGGAAGACAGAGGGTGAGACAGAGTGAGACAGAGAGAAAGATTGAGTGAGAGGCAGGCAGAGAGACAGATTGAGACATACAAAGAGACATAGTGAGACAGAGAGAAAGAGAGAGAGAGACAGAGAGAGTGAGAGACTTAAAGAGAGAGAGTGAGCAGGTCCAGCTTTCCACTATCTTTGATCATCTGGCAGGGCCAGGGATTTGCCCTTTGGTATTGTAACCAACTCATTCATGGGCACGTTTCCAAGTGGGCTTTTCCTTTGCTGACACGTTCATACTAAAAATCCACTGGAACTGGAGCTGCTGCAGCACATTTGCACATGGTGATACAGAGCCTAGGATTGGAAGCGAAGGAAAGCACCAAGAGAAGGGGAAAAAATAGATTTCTTTTACACCTCAAGGTAAAGTAATATGGCCTAAGGAACAAATGCTGGGCTACTATACAGTGCTACAGGGGTTGTTGTGTCCAGCATGCCACACACAGAAAAAAAGGATTTTAAAGAGAAAACCAAGGTGAAGCATTTTCAATTAAAATGCACTTGGTCAGAACCTGTACTCAGGCAATATGAAGGCATTTTCAAATTGGATCTTTGGCTGGCTCTGCTTTAAGAGGGATGTTATACGGAGAGGCATCCTACAAAGCAAGGGGTCAAGTGGCAGTGTCTAATTAGCAATTCAAGAAGTTAGCAGTGTAGGATTGCTTAAAAAGTACCATTTTGTTAGTGTACCTTAAAATAGTCGTCTTGCACTTGTTGCCTTATAATGCTGGAGTAATTAAGGATGAAAAACTTTTATTTCGTAATTTACATGAGATCTAATATGAAATTGATGTTATCTCCTGTTTAAAAATTAAACCGTCAGCAAACCCCCCCCCCCCCCTTAATAGTTACAGACATGCCAATGATCAAAGAATATCATGGCAATATGCCTAGGGCAAAATCCACTCGAGGGAACTGTGCCAAGGTTTTAAACAAGGAGTATGCAAAGAGATCTCGCATGTTTTACTGGTCATTCATACCTAAACCATAGGTTACTGGATTATTTAGGAGTAATATGTATTTTCCCACTGAGTTTTGTGCTTCCAAAAATATGCCAATGTTGCTTTAGCTGGGTGTTGTACGTACAGTGAGGGATTTGGTAGTTAGATTTAGCACGACTAGCACTAAATTGGTCTTGAACCATGGTTAAGTCACCATTCCATTTATGGTTTAGATAAATTACATGACTATTTTGCTCTTTCAGACTGAATTGTGAATAAGACCATTGTCTCCTGCATCATAGGAAATGGAACTAGCTATGGGCTGGAGAGAATTTGTAGCTAGAGGGTTTAAGTGACCATACTGCAGAGTGCCTAATATTAATGCCTTACTGCCATTTCACACAAAATTTGTTAATGTTCTTATTAACTTTTCCAAGGCATCATTTGTTATTTCACAAAGCATTTACATCTGCCAGGGGATGCAGTTGTTAATAGACTTGTTAAGAATATATGTAATATGTAACTTAACGAAGTTACACCCAACTATAATGGGAGTACATCTACAAGAAGATTACTGTTAGTCAAACCCACCAGATAACACACTGTTTCAGCTCTAGGTTTGTTGAAATCCCACATTGATTTGCTTGGGGTTGAATTCATGTGATTAGATGAAGGCAGAATTGTGTTCACTGTTCAGAAGTTTTTTTCAGTTTACAAGGCAGACCCCACTGAGCTCATGTTCACAACTGCAGTGTTATAGACTGAACTGGTCTGCAACTCCTCCTCATATGGGTATTTTTAGGTTTTTTGCAATTTTTATATTTACTTAGTTCCTTGGGAGTTTTGCTACGGTGCTATTCTAACAATGATGAATATTAAATGACAAAATACAGTGCTTTTTGTTCTTTAAACTATGGATATAAATTTAGAAGGGGTATTCTCAGCATGCAAGACCACTTGCAACCATTCGTATGACCCCTTTCATAAGCTATAAAAAATGTATGACGTAAGATGTGTCTTAATTTGCATATTGAGTTATTCATTCAGATGCAATCACTGTTGCGCACACAGTTTCTTGGGCCATCTTGGGCAATTCTGGATTTTAATAAATATGAATAATAAGTAAAATAAACATTTCAATACATGCATTGATATTATGTTAACATTCAAATTTAGCAGTTACTTAGAACTTTTAATCTTTAAAGCTCTTTATAAACATTTATGGGCCTATAATTTGCCTTCAATTCTTACTGCATTTCACAACTGCTTTGTAATTAGGCAAGTCAGAAGAAATAGCTGAAATAAGTAGTTCCTTCTATGCTGAAGTCAGCTGTGGTGTAATGTCCCTAAAGACTTGTTCTTCAAACAATGATGTAGCTACATCTTGGAAGATCTGTCAGCAGTCAAGTTTCATTGAATCAAATTCCAGTTTTGGCAGGTCATCATATAAGGTCACCAATACATGCAAACAAGGCATCTTCTTACTCATTGTGTTTAGCAGTCTGCCAGATTTCATGCTTGGTAACATGGATTGTTAACTGTCTCCCACAGGAAACAGTTCTGATTCATGTGTTTGTATCAATGAATGGAGGTATTAAGGTGGCAAACTCCAGGAACGTAGTTCTTGCAGTCCACTTCTTTGGTCAGTCTTTTATTTTGTTTCAATGAGCTCTTCTTTCTTTCACCTGATACGAGGAATTGTTTAGGAATTTGCAGTATACAAGGTTTATATTCTCTATTGCCCTTAAACAATAGGGAATGTAAGTGAGAAGATAAGTATGTTAATTTTTCTTTCAAGGAAGAGAAACATGCATTTATATTTCAAGGATATAATTGTCTGACCATTTCTTTGGGAAGAAAGGTTCTATGTTAATTCCATTTTGTCTTGCTCTTGGTTCAGATTATGCATTTCAGCCAAATTTCTGTTGTTACTTACCTGGGTTCTTGGCATCTTTCTTTATATAAAGTTTTAACATGGCTGAGGATTAGCAGTCGAATTATAAATTAGCACAGTTGGGCTCCAGGTTGTAGTCATTAGTACAACAACCACAACAACAATAAAAAAATAAGTTTTAGAGTGTAGTTTGGTCAGTTTCAAAGGAAGGAGAATCACATGTGCCTTTTAGAAGTAGGGGTGTAGAGTGTAGCCGTCTTGATCTAAGGACATAGGCAGACAAGGTTCTTTGGGTAAATCCGTTATCTTTTGGTCTAAGATATCAGATTTACCCAGAGAACCTTGTCTGCCTTTTTAGAAGTAGGTAATCTTTAGAAGAAATGGAATCTTGCATTTAGCGCATAATTAAACACTAGAATTTTATGGTTTTTACGGTGTGGCATTGTACCAATGACATTCTATATGTTGCAGTTTCTCCATCTGTAAAATTGGAATAAAATGTAATTTAGTCCATGAAATCTTCAAGAGTATTAATGGTTGTAATGGCACATTGCAGATGTGGGATGCAGGCAATTACAGATTTATTTTCAGTTGAGCAAAATTGGACTGATTGATCAACAGCTTGATAACTCTTTAAAAAGTTTATTATCAAATACAGCCCAAGAACTCAGCAACTCCCATGGTATGAATGGGAATCTGGACATCAGGTTAACGCTAATTTTACCTAATGAATGGCTGCTGTTAAAAAATCAATATCTAATTTATCTATAATAGCAATATCTTTCTGGATTTGGAATAGGATATATCATGGTACTATTGCTTATAGTATAGACTGATAAAGGTTGAGTTTTAAGTTGTGCCACTATGTGTATGTGTTTCTATTGCTTCAGGAGGACAGCTTTTCACCCAAGACAACTTTGAAGGTATTTGCAGATTTAAGAAAATTATTTATTGAATACTTACAGCTCCTAAAGTCTCAGCCTTCTGCTTCCTGAGATGTTGACAGGGATTTACTGAGTTGAAAGACAATAACACTGTTGTTTGATAATCTAGTTATTTTGCTGTGTCTGGCTTCCTCAAAGAGATTCTTGTATTTCAGAGCCCTGAATATGCTGCTCTTGTCTTTAACACTTGCTGTCTTTAAAGAACTAGATTAGTGATTCACAATCAGAGTGACATGGCACCCTGAGGTGCCTTGAAATCCTTTCAAGGGTGCCGCAGGGTACCAGGCAATGCTAGCCCTGTTATTTGTGCAAACGTGATTCACCGGATGAAACCAGAGATTTCAAACAAGAATCCACCCTGTTAAAAACATTTTGACTTCTTGTGGTGCTTCTGAGTTTGCAGTAGAATTTTTTTACATAGTCAAAGAATGAGAGAAAACTAAGAGCCAGCATTTTCCAAGGTGTGTCTTGAATCTAAAGAGGTTGAGAGCCACTGAACTAGACCTTTTTGTAGTCTGATACTTATGTTGAGAATATTTCTTAGAAAAGTCTTCCCAGTCACAACAGCTGATCTGCATGAAATGCCATTTACTTGGGTTTGTGATATCTGGTCCAGGGGCTTGGTTTAAAGAACTATTACTTTCTAAATTTTAGTATTAGTTGTGGGTTTTACACAGTATTTTGTTTTGCTGCATTCTTTTAGGCTTGAGTGGGCACATCTACGTGTTCATTAATGCACTTTTGCTAATGCACATTAAATTTCATACCTCTGGGCACCTATATACTAGCATGGAGGCTGCTTCAATGTACTGGAATTCCAGCGCGTTGGAACAGACTCATTTAATCGAGCCTGTTGGATCGTGGCAGTTACTGTGCTCCAGCATCCTCCTGCGTCCTGTGTATCAGAGTCCCTGTGGTTAAAAATGGCGGTGGGGGTGCTTGAACTAAAGCTTTTCAAATGAACATTAGTTCAAGTGCCCCCACCACCGTTTATAAGTGTGGGCATGCTGATGCACAAGATGTGGTGGTGCTTTAAAGCGACTCTCAGAGCTGTTCTAATTAAAGCGCTGCCCCCTCACAGAGCATGTGTAAAAGTGCCTTCCATTGTGAGGAACGAGAAAAAGGTGCATTAGCCTATTTTAATGTGCATTAGTGAAAGCGTACAGTTTTTTGTGACACTTTAATGTGCATTAAAGTAGGCTAATGTGCATTAAAACACATTTATAGATGTGCCCACTGTGTTTAAATGTAGTACTTTAGGAAGCAGAAGGATCTAGTAGTATGTAAAGTTTCAAATTTATCCCCATCTTTCTCTAGGAGTTTCATTGGAATAGTATAGAGTGAACAAATTTCTCAGCTTAAACAAGTGACGTTTTTATGACGTGTGGATGAACTGTTTTATTGTTTACTTTCACTTATTTTCCTTGTATTTGCATCCTAAGAAATGGCACTGAAGGTTGACTCTGCTTGACTCTGCTATTCCTTTCTGTTTCTCTGTTGCATGAAGATAATCTCTATTTGAGTTTTAAAATTTGTTATGAAAGCAAATCAGGTTCCTACTCTGATAGACATTTCTGTGTAATGACATTTTTTCATGACTCTTAGTTCCTTGTTCTTGCAGTTCTATCTTCCTTTTGTTTCCAATGCAAGTAGACAATTTGTCACTGGACACAGGCTAATGCCAGAGAATAGGATAGGAAAGAATTGGTCAATATAATGTTTGAGCTGTATTTCACTATTTGTTCTTTGCTGTTGGTTGTTAATAAGTTGTTGCACAAACACAGAAAGCAATGTAGTAGGTCACTGTTCATTTTAGTTCCATGATTATGAATCATAGTTAAAGTTGTATGTTACTTTTCAACCCTATTTTTTTTCTCTATTTTCTTCCACTATACTTAAAGCTAGAAATAGTTTAGATTAACCTGATAATTATCATAAACATTTTGAAAGCAAAGGAGATTTTATCTGCAAAATGTGAATAAAGATGGCCAAAGTATTGATTAATTTTTTTATTCTATTAAATAGCAAGAATCTAGTTGACTTTAGTTATAGAAGGATTGGGCTCCTGATTTTGATGCACAGAAAAAGTTACTTTTCAAGTAGAGCTGTCAGTTGCCATTCAATTAGTATACTAAGGATGCAATAAATGTACCAAGGATGCAGCTATTTATACATTAGCATAAATACATGGGGGAAAAAAACAGCTAAAGGAAGATAAGTAATCAAATAATACACCCATTCACAGCATCTATAACACATGTACTCATGGCAAAATATCACACTGAAGAATCCAAAAAGAACCTTAACTCTGTCCCGTGTTCCTGCCCAGGATCTTACAGCCACAGTCCTGACCACATACCTTTTAAACTCAACACTGTAGCCCACATTTAAAATAAGGGCTACAAAATCTCATCAACCGCCCCAGCCATGCCCCATGGAGTCAATCACGGTCGGACTTGTAGCCTGTCTGCCTCTCCTGGGGCAGACACCCCCAACTCGTTGTCTTAAACTCCACATAAAGAACAGTGATATTTCTCTTTAAAAGCAAGACTAGGCAATTCCATATTTTTCAGCTACTCATTTACTAATAGAAATATCTTAATGTTTTGGCTGTTTAAAATTTCCCTAAATTATTGCCTTCTTTATTCACAGGATGTCCCATGTGAATGAGATGTGGTGTTATCATTGGAAATGGAAGCTTCAGAACTTTCTGTACTTGTTTACTATATACATTATATGGATGCAGCAGTCAGGTAAGGTAGCAAATTGCCCTCTCTTTCAAATAAAATATGTACATTCCCAATGAGTAAGGGATATACTTATGTATGACTATATTACATTCACTTTAATATTTAGATTACAGTGTTCCACTGTAATTATTAGCTGAATTTTTTTACATTATGTTTTGCATTACTGTTGTTTCCCCTTAACTGCTTTTGAAATAGCATTTCAGTCATTTCTTCTACCTATTGCAAACATTATTTCTGAGTTATTTGCTTGTCTCATTTCTTTTTGCTTTCTAAGTGCTTGTATGTCTTCTGAATATATTTTTTCATTTAATTTTATGATCTCTATGGAAATAACATTAATGCTTTTAATATTTTACAATCAGTTTTCCAAGCCTCTGTGTGTGTGTGTGTGTGTGCGCTTATGTATACACATGTGCACAAAATGTTTAATAACTTTCACATCATGAAAATATATTATTAAAACTGAAAATTAAACGAAATATTATTAAGAATGTTAAACAGTTAACAGTAGGGGTGCACCGATAGAGATTTTGGGGGCCGATACTGATAGCTGATTTTTTAAGGAGGCATATTGGCCGATAGTGATCTGATTTCTGATACGCAGCCCTGCAGCTTTAAGAGCTGTGTCCAGCTGGTAAGTCTATTGTGATGGAAGGGGAGGGAGGAGGGAAGGGGTGTGAGGGGCAGATCAAGGTCCCTGCAGTGAGGGAAGAGTGGGGCTGGGGCAGGTGCTGCCCAGCTGGGGTGGAGCGGGGCACGGGACAGAGCTGTGGCTTGGCTGCGCGGTGGGGGGGGGGGCTGACTCCTGCTGATGTGTGCACCCTGAGATGGCATGGGATGGCATGCCTTCAGATCTGTGTGGGGTAGGCTGCAGCTGCATAAGGGGGCTGCATTGGGCTCTTCCCGGTGAGGACTGGGCCAGGCTGTGCTTGGGGCAGGTGGCAGCAGTGCTGGGAGAAGAGCTACAGGCCCACCGGGAAGAGTCCGGTGCAGCCCCAGTCTCAACCCACAGTGGCACCCTACCCCGCCCACACCCCACACAGATCTGGAGGCACACCCCGCCCCCATGCCATCCTGGGGCACATGCAGTGATGGGAGCTTCCCCTCTTGTGACCCCTGGACAATCTGTGCCTCCATCCCGTGCCCCACTCCAGCTAGGCAGCACCTGCCCTAGTTCCAGCCCCACTCCCTCCCTCATCACAGGGACCTTGATCTTCCCCCCATGCCCCTTCCCTCTCCCTTCCCCTTCCACCACAACAGACTTACCATCTGCATGCAGCTCTCCCAGGCTGCCAGGCTGTGCTCCTTGCTACCTATGTGCTGCACTGTGGCTGTGCACAAGCACGGACATTTATCAGCCAAATTATCAGCACGTGCACCTCCTGAGCGTGGCAGTGCACCCCCTACAAAAAGGCGCCACCAATAGGGCGCCTGCAGGCAGTCGCCACTTACCACCCTGCTGCTGACACTGCCAACAGCATCTGTAGGCAGTCACCGATCCCTGCTGGCCACTGATGACACTGCCAGTGGTGCCTGTGGGTGGTCACTGACCCCTGGTCAGCGCTTGCCACCCGCGCTGGGGGCACAGGTTGTCGTTCATGATCGGCCACATCAGGCCGATTTCCAATACAATCAATTTTCTTTATATCGGTACTGATCTGATATCGGACTGATATATTGGTGCACCTCTAGTTAACAGAATGTTAAATGTTATGCGGGCAATTTAAATGATAAAAAAATCTTCAGAAATCCATTTGTGTGTAGAATTATCTGATACTGTCTAGGGAATGTAATTAAAAACTTAGCATTTTTTGGTGTGTATTAACACTTGAGCGTAGAATGTTGTAGTATGTTGAGATTGTTTTCTGTAAGAAAATGATCTAGAGATTTGATTTACTAAATTGTCTTTTCCTATCCACTAGAGTACAAAGTATTTTAGGAGTTCCAGCTGCCTTGCTGGAAAAATCTCTGGAGTTTACCTTACAGTTCTTGAGAATAAGAAAATGTTGAAGTAGATGGTAGTGTCTAGGTAATTTTATATCAAATGAACCATTTTCCTTGTTACTGACTTCTCATTGGAAAGAGCAAACAAAATCTTCAGAATAGGGGTGGAGTATATAGACAGATATTCTGTTTTCTTAATGAAAAATAGAATCTACATTTTGAGCCAGTGTCTCAGCTGTGGTTGACTAATGCTGAGATCTTTGCATCATCCTCAACCATCCTCAGTCACTGGTTCTTCATATAAAATATGTCAACTGAGGCTGTTTTAATCTGCACACTGCTAGAGGTCCTTATGGTGGCTATTCTAGGATGTGGTGACACAAGATGTCCCTGCTGGTTGAAGGGAGCTACAACAAAGCCAAAACAGTGGTTCTGCGTAACTTCAAATTTCATTCTTTGCAAGTTGCTGTATGTTAGTAACCAGCTACTAACAGTAGGGATGCTCTGTGCATGTAGACTGGCAAAAGTAGCCAAAATTTACCAGATAATATTAGGTGTTTAATAAAAGACATGATCTGATACTTGTTGAATCTATAACACTAGGAGAGTTTAGGAGGTTTTAGAATTGTCTGGGCCTGATTCTTCACAGCCTTGAGCAAAAATAGGTCTAGTGATGAGTTACCACATAGGCAGGTAGATGGAATAGACAACTATGTTTGCTGAGCTGTGAATACATCACAAGTAGACTTTGTTGTTAACACTCCATTGAAATGAAAATGAGATATTTATACTTCGAGTGCTGCATTGTTTCAGCATATCTATCTGTAAACCCTTGGGTTTTCATTTTGTAAGATGGCCTGGCAACCCACACTCATGTGTCTTTTTCATGAACATTAAAACATAAATTATGAACTACAGCTGCAAAACATACTGCCTTTGTACTTTTTAAAAGAGCAAGGCAGACTAAGCAGGAAACACAAGTTCTTCTAGTGTGGTAAATGTTATCTTTGTGTCACATTTTTCTTAGAAAGGAAGTCAAAGAGTTTGGAGTCTTAGGGCATCCATAATTTTGTTGGCAGCTTAAATATTACTAAAGATACAATATAAATATGATAAAATCTGACATTCAGGCAGCTTCACTAGTGTGTTATAACCTCAGAAAGCTAGTGGGGTTTTTTGAACTTTGCCTAGCAGAGGTTATAGGGATGAGAAAGTTGAAAACCATTAGATGCACTTATAAAATATCTATAGGACCATTCATCAAGACAAAAAATAATGATTTATCCTCTGACATGGAGAAGTTGCAAGCATAATTTTACAGTGGGAGTTTAACCAACATAAAGAGTACAGCATCAGGCCTGCTTTCTTAAGAACATCTCAAGGGAGGAATTACACGTCAGCAAACCTAGGAGAGCAACAGAATTGTCTCCAAGTAGAGTGTTTATTCAGAATTTTCTGTGATGTGTCAACTGCCATTTAAGGTGAACAGCTTCCTTTGGTGAATTAGCCAGTTAAATATAAAAAGACAGAAAGGCAAGTAAAATAATCTAGCAGTTCTCAAATATTTTAGACTCAAGATGCCCCTTGTTCGACTTAAGGCACCCCTTCAGAAAATGCTAGCTCTTTTCAGTTGTTTTTTGACTAGAGCAAACTAATAGAGCAATTTTTTCTGTTGCAAGGAACTCAGAAAGACCACCACAAGTCAGAATGTTTTTAACACTATGAACTTCTATTTGAAATCTCTGAGTTTATCTTGTGAATCATGGTTGCGCATATAGTGTTAACAGTGTTATCAATATCATTAATGCAGCACCCCATGACATCCTTGAAGGGATCTCAAGGCACCCCAGAGTGCTGTGATACTCAGGTTGAGAATCACAGACTTAATGTATTACCCACATGTAGGCCTGGTCAAAAGCTTATAGAAGGCAGTGGAAAGACTCCCATTGATTTCAGAGTTCTTTGATCTAGGCCCTTTAAGAATATGAGCCAGATTCTCAGCTGGTATAAACTGTCTTAGTTCTACTACTTTGTAACTATGACAGTTTACATTAGTGGGGAATGCGACTATGACCCATCTCACAGTGTGACAAATTTTGCACTAGTAAACCTACATGCATTTGGGCAACTGTACTGACTGATTGTCTTAATTAAGGGCATTTTTGGTGAAGAGTTGTTATTATAATCTCATATCATTTTAAGCAAGTAGGTTGCTATAGTAAAGTTAAAACAGTTAGATTATTTTGCCTCAGATAATTAATTATCTTTATTATCAGTAAGCTTTCAACCTAAATCCAGTTATACCCTTTCTCAGTGTTTCTACTTGCAGATGAATGGGAAGATGTATTTTTTTTAAATATTGGTTTGTGTCCTGATTTTAGTAGCTTTGTGGATTGTTTAGGTGCCCTTTGGGCCTTAGACATACTTGCATTTGGAGCCATTTCAAAAGCACAGCAGCTGTCACATTTAATTGCTACCTGTGAAGAAGCCCTGGACTATACAAATGTAGTAAAATCACTCCAACTTTAATTCTGGGTGAAACATCATTAAAGTATATTTGTATCATTCTCAATTTATATACCCATAACAATTAGAGTGTAACAGCTGCTGACCTTTTGAAATGGCTTCAAAAGTATGTGTGCCCATAACCTGTGATGTATCTTCTTAATTTGCATTATATATTTTTTTCAGTATCACATCAAAACAATCAGAACATTATCTTAAAATTTTTACCCTGGTAAATATTCATGACCTTGAATATGGTTTAAGATTAATTTTACACAGTATGTGGAAAAGCACTTCCAACATTAAACCAAAGATAAATGTCCACAGAAGTCAATTAGTGTTACAATTGTTTTATACTATATCCACTACTACTGATGTCAGGAAAACTGCTGAGCATGAAGCTGAAATCGCAGCCATTCTGTTGTATGGCCTGTACTGAATCCAACTGGTGTCACCAGCCGTCCTTCTGTTGACTTCATCTGGCATTTTGAGTAATCCCCAGTGCTTTTTGAAGCAAGATGTCATATGGTATTACAAGTAGTTGTCAGTATTCC